AGTCTTCACAAATTGAAATGACTAAAATCAGAGTGTACAAAGCACTGTAGTCTGTGCAGAGATACAGAGCACAGTGGAGTTGAAGTAGAAATCACCCATGTAATATACTTGTAAATAGAAAATAAAGAAAATGGAGCAAAGAAATTAGTTTAATTGAACAGACATTAAAGTGCTGTTTATCAAAGCACATGAGATACAGGTAAGATGGAGGGAAATTGCCAGTCTTGCCAGGGATTTAGCTCAGTGGTTTCGCCGCCTGCTATGCAAGCACAAGGACCTGAGTTCCATCCCTGGTACCAAAAAAAAAAAAAGAAAAAAATTGCCAGTCTTAAGTATGGCTGGAGTCTTCCTATTATCTATAGTTTCACTTTCTATGGTTTTGGTTACCCACAGCCAACAAGAACATACAAATATTAAGTAGATCTGGACAGTGGCTCCCAATACCAAATAAATAAACAACAAACAAGTAAAATAAGTGAATAGAATATTCCAGAAATAAACAGTTCATAAATTTTAAATTGTGCACCATTCTGAACAACATGATGAAATCTCATGCCATATTCCTCCTTTTCACCCAGGATATGAGCCATGCCTTTGTCTAGTATATCCATGTGATATACACTACTTGTTCTTTAGTCACTTAGTAGCCATCTCAGTTATCAGATTGACTGTTGTGGTATTGCAATACTGTATTCAAGTAACACATTTTATTTAATGTTGGCCCCAGAATATAAGTACTGACCGCTGGCAATTCAGACATGACAAAGAGAAGCTGTTAAAGTGCTTACTTTAAGTATAAAGATGAAAATATAATAAGATGTTTGAGAGTGAAAGAGATTGATCATATTCATATAACTTTTATTATAGTATATTGTTATAATTGTCCTATTCTATTGTCATTCTTGTTCATCTCTTGTTGCACTTATTTATAAATTAAACTATTATAGGTATGACCCTATAGGAAAAAATATAGTAGAGAGAGAATTTGATATGATTCCTACTTTCAAGGTCCACTGGGATTCATGGAATGTGTTCTTCACAGATAAGGGGTGACTCCTATTATTAGAAAAGAAAAATGGTTAAAATCAATGATCAAGATTTCCAAAATGGCCAAGGGGGCAAGCTTGGTTTGAAGCCCTCAAAATTCCTGCCCCAAGAATTATTGCTGGCTCATTGAAAAGCTTCCCTCAGATAGGACTTGTTTTTATTTAACCTGACTCAAAGCTTATTCTGTACAACAGCTTTTCCTCCAGAACATTGGTGGTGGTGGTGGTGGTGGTGGTGGTGGGGTTAACAGGAATTAATATCATTGTTTCTTATGAGTTACAAATTGGGGCTAACTAGAGGCTGACCAATAACTTGAAAGGAAAAACTGGAGAATGAAATGGAAACTTTGAAAAGTTTGAAGTCTGATATATTCTTGTGAACCTAGAAGCTCATGTGCATGTGGCTTGTGCATGCCTAAGAAAGACCTTAGAGGGCATATTCTCTTTATCTCAGTCTGACCTTGAGGCTTTGCAAAAGCAAGAAGAGAAGCCTGAGGTAGAATTATAAACTTGAGCATTAAAAGCACACACACATACAGCCCTTCAGCAAAGGGAAACCTCTGTCCAATCATTAGTTGATCGATGCAGAAACAACTCCAGACACACTCAGCCACCTCATCTTTGACAAAGGAGCCAATCGCCCTCATCGGAGGAAAGATAGCCTGTTCAACAAATGGTGTTGGAAAAACTGGATTTCAACCTGCCAAAGATTGAAACTAGACCCATACCTCTCACCGTGCACTAAACTAAGATCGAAGTGGATTAAAGAGCTAAATATCAAGACAGAAACACTAAACTTGCTGGAAGATCAGTTAGGTAGAACTCTCAATGACATTGACATAGGAAAAGACTATGAACAAAACTTCAGTAGCACGGGAGCTAACAAAAAGAATCAACAACTGGGATCTCATCTTATTAAAAAGCTTCTGCACTGCAAGAGAAACTACCATCAGAGCTAAGAGACAACCTACAATATGGGAAGAAATTTTTAGCAGCTGTGCCTCAGACAAAGGTTTACTATCTAGAATATATAAAGAATTGCCAAAAATCAGACCCCTCAAATTCAAAGACCCAATTCAAAAATGGGCATGAAATGAACAAACATTTCTCAGACAAAGAAGTAAAAGCAGCAAATAAATACATGAAAAAATGTTCAACATCACTGGTCATTCAAGAGATGCAGATGAAAACAACACTGAGATTCCACCTCACCCCACAAAGAATGGCTGCTATCAAGAAATCAACCAATAACAAATGCTGGCGGGGGTGTGGAGAGAAAGGAACCCTTCTCCATTCGTTGGTGGGAGTGTAGACTGGTGTAACCACTGTGAAAGTCAGTATGGAGATACCTCAAAGAACTAGGACTAGAGGTTCCATTTGACCCAGCTATTCCCCTACTGGGTATCTTCCCCAAAGAATTAAAAGAATCATACCACAGTGATATATGTGCACCTATGTTTATAGCGGCACAGTTGTAATAGCTAAGGTTTGGAAACAGCCCAAGTGCCCATCAACTGGAAACTGGATAAAGAAGATGTGGTTTTTTTATAAAATGGAGTACTACTCAGCCATAAAGAACGAGAAACTAGAGTCATATTGAGGCCATACTCTTAAGTGAAATAAATAGGACACACGTGTAAATACCGAATAGTATCTCTAGTGTGAGAAACTGAAAGTGTAAATAAGGATGAAAATGATTTAAATGAATAATTGATAATTTGAAATAGGAAAAGGTCCAAAGGTGTAGGGGTGGCGGGAGGGGAAGGGGAAAGGGAAGAAGAGAAAGGAAAAATTATGAGAAAGAAAACAAAAAAATGGAATCAAAGTCTGTGTAAATAGGGAAGGGTGGAGGGGGTGAAGGGTGCACAGGTAATGGGGAAAAAATAAGAACTAAGATACATCATGACCCAATGATAAATGTAAATGCACTGTATACCTAAAATGTACCAATTAATATATAAATAAATTTAAAAAAAGAAAACCAATCATTAGTTGATCACTGTGCTAATCAAGCAGATTTCAGTTGGCCATATATGACAAAAAAGAACGACTTTTGGGCTGGGGAATCAGCTCAGTGGTGCCACCACCTGCCTCGCAAGAGCAAGGTCCCAAATTTGATCCCCAGTACCAAAACAAAAAACAAAAAAAAAAGACTTTATAAAATTAATCAGAAAGTCACTAAAGAAATAGTAAACCAAGGTTAATTCCTAGAGAGGAGGAATTTCATTTTAAGAGTCACCATATTATTTAAAATTATATTATTTTAAATGTTCAAATTTTAAAACTTTGGAGACATACAAAAAATAACAGGAAAGAATGGGATACACACAGGGAAAAAAGCAGTCAATAGAAAGTATTATTCACTGAGGTATTCTGCTTTTGGTCACAAATTATCTCCATGGAAGTGCATTTTTTGGACTTACTAGGCCAAGATTTAAAATCAGTTATTATTATAAATATGGTCAAAGACCTGAAAAAAAATGCCTAGAGAATTAAAGGAAAACATGAAAGCTATGTTTCACCAAACAGAGACTATTAATCAAAAGGAATATATATACATATATACATATATACATGTGTATATATATATAGAGAGAGAGGAGGGAACAAGGGAGGGAGGGGGAAGAGAGAGGGAGAGGGAGAGAGGGCTAAATCAAAATTCTGGAGACACAATGGATATTTTTGGAGTAATTCTGGATGGACTAAGGATCCAATAATGAATAATGAGTGACTAGATAATGAAATAGCGATACACATGTACACATAGACACACACACACAGGAGTACTGTCCAGCCTTAAGAAGATCCTGCCGTTTGTCACAACAGGGATATCTGAAGTACATTATGTTAAGTAAAATAAGCCAAACATAAAAAATAAGCCCAACACAGAAGAAAATACTACATGATCTCAAACATATATGTGGAGTTCACAAGAAAAAGAAAGTCAAGTACATAGGAACAGAATAAAACAGTGGCTAACAGGGGCCAAGAAGAAGGAAGAAAGTGAGGATATGTAAGTCAAAGAATACAAAATTGCAGATATCTAGAATGAATAATTCCATTCTGCTGCCTGCCTTGCAAGCACAAGGTCCCAAGTTCAATCCCTGGTACCATAAAAATAATAATGATAATTCTAGACATATAATTGTATTGTCTTCAAGATTTTTGCTAAGAGTAGATTCTGGGTGGTTTTGACAAATGCACAAAAAAGGGGATAATTATGTGAGATGATGGCATGTTAATTTACTGGATTCTACATACAAATAAAATTCTAGAGTTAAAAATAAAAAACCAGAGGTGCTCAACAACAGATTTGAACTTACAAAAGAACTTGAAAACATCAATTGAGACTATCCAGTCTACCCAACAGAAATGAAAAAGAAAATATGAATGGAGCTTATGGGATGCCATCAGGTGACTAACGTAATGTAAAACAAATCCTAGAGAGAAAGAAGAATAATGTATTTGAAGAACTAATAGCCAAAGCCTTTTCAAATTTGATGAAAACCTGCATAAAGTTAGAATATCCAAGAATCCCAAGAAACTCCACATAGATAGAACACACACAAAGAAGCACACCAAAACTTATCATAGTCACACTATCAAAAGACAAAGAGAGAGTCTTGAAAGCAGCAGGAAAAGTACTCCATGCCCCCAAACATGATTTTTCAGAAGGCTTCTCCTGGAAACAATTCAGATGGAGTCTGAGGTAACAATCATTGGTGAATTGTCAACCCTGCCACCAAAAGTAAAGTCAGATGGAAGATGATGAAGCCTTTCAAACCTTTCAGGTGTTCTCTCCATCCCATAAAGCCTCTTATTTGGGGCCTCTCTTGGCCTCCTCCATCATATTAGTTAGAACTGAGAGGGCACAAAGGGATCAGGACAAGTAGGGCTGTGAGCACGCATCACCAGAGGCCTGACACCACAATGGCTGCCTGCCTTCTGAGAGCTGTAGCACTTGGTCTGATGGGAAACAGCTAAGCAGTAAGTAACTGTTGGCTTTAGATTATATAGTTTATATAGTATGTTAAATAAATCCTAGTCTTGAAGTGTGATTATGAAGACCAGGAATGTTTAATTCATGTTTTTAATATCTACATAGATACACCTGGCCAGTTTTATGCTGCACTTTTTATCTAAATGCACATCTACATACTTAATATTGTACATAGTTCATATCAAAGACAATTTAGTGATAGCTTGTAGAACTCTTGGAGAAAAACTATTTCCAACATTCTAACCCAGAGAACTGCCACTTGTTTAGTTGGCATTTCTTGAGCATCTACTCTGTACCAGATGGTAGGAGATGAGGAAAAGGAAGGACAGCAGTTGAGTCTGAGCTTGGTGATGGGGTATCGGGAGAGGCTGTCTGGAGGTGACTTCTTATCTGAATCTTGAAGGATTAGTGGGTGGAGTGAAGTTAGCCAGGCCATCCAGGAGGAAAAACCGAAATGGAGCGGAAGTGAAGAACATAGTACCTCTGAGGAATTCTTCAAAGAGCCATAATATGCTATATAGGAATCAAAGTTTCAAAACTTAATTAAACTCAGCTTAATTTAACCAACATTTTAAAAATCACAGATACATGTAGCTATGGATTAGTTGTTGGGCTTACAGAAATTACAAGAAGACATATCTACACATATGTTTAATCCAGCGTGACAAGGAGTAATAGGAGGATACAGATAGGCAGCATCAGGGGGGTGGGGAATTCTGTCTGGAGAGTCCAGGGAGCTTTCAGAAGAAGGGAAGAACAGGAATGGAAGTTCACACAGGAGAAACAAGTAATCTCAGTAGAGGATACAGTATGTACTTTGGTGAGAGGCAGGAAAACTCAAGTTGTGTCCAGAGAACTGATGTAGCTCATCGTTGCTACAACTTAGATTTGGAGTGGAGTGGAGGGGAGAGGAGATTGGGTAGGAAAGTAAAGGGAGTGACAAGCAGGAGCTGATGAGCTTTGGTCTTTGTGTGATGGAGTCTTTGAAAGTTTGTAAGCAAGTGTAAATATAATGGGGCAGTTTAGAAATACTCCTGGAGCTATGGTGTAGAGGGAAAAGAAGAGGGTAAGTTCAATGTCACAGAGCTCAATTAGGCAAGAACAATCATCCTGGCCTGGACTGGCCATGATGAAAGAGATGGAGTGGGGGCATGGTTCTTGGAGAAGTTAGAAATCTTAACTGATAGGGCTTAATAGTTGATAAGCACCTGATGACGAGAGGAAGAGATCAAGTATGAGCAACAGGTTTATGGTGTGTGTCACTGGGGACATGGAGATGCCACTAGCTGCCCAAGCATAGCCACTGTCTGTTCATATACGTGCACACACACACCCACACACACACACTCCAGTTGTGTGTTCTTCCTTCTCTCCCACTCCCTATTCCCTAGCCAGAAGTGAAAAATACAAGGAAAGCCAGGAAAATCTCCCTAATGGTCTCATGTGGCTCCAGGGTGGTGCTTGATGTGTCCACTGAGCAGGACCAGACCCTGGCAGCTTCTTCTAGGAAGTACACAGCGGAAACCAGTGCCCATTTACACCACCCCTCGTCTGCCTGCATTCTAACCACTGTCCCACACCCAGTCCTTTTTCTCATCCCTTCACCCACCTTAGTAGTCACGTGAATTTTTTTGGATAGTTCTGATATCAGAAAGCTCAGATAGATGGCAATTCTTGGAGACCTCTCTTTGTCCTTCTCTCTCTCCCTTTCTCTTTTTCCTTGTTCCCTCCCTCTCTCCCTGCTTCCCTCCCTCCCTGTCTTTCTTTCTTCAATTACCACTTATTTTATTGTGAGCACATTTTTATAATGATACCCAAACAACCATCATGCAAGAGAAGAAATAGAATGCTGCCAGCCCCTCTGAAGCCCCGTACACGAGCTCTCCTAATTACTATGCACTGAACGCCCCAGCTTCACCATAAGTTCTGACCTTGCAACTCATTCCCTTGCTTTTCCTGTTATCACCTGGTATGTTAACCTCCCTAAACCACAGAATTTAGTTTTGCTTGTTTTGGAACTTTATTCTTTGAAGTCCCCTGATTCTGTTTCTGTCTTTCAACATTGTGTATATGATTTGTCTGTGTTGTTAGATATGTCACCATTTTATAGTGATGGACATTGGATTGTTTCCAGGGTGAAGTCTTATGAACAAAACTCCTTGAAGATGCTTGTATGCACATCCTGGTCACAATTCATGAGTTTCCGAAAGGTCCATATCTGGGAGTGGAGCTGCTGAGGCATAGGCCTCTTCAGTATTTTTCAATATTATTTGATATCACAGGAGGGTTTCTCTTGTTCCACATCTTCACCAACATTTATTGCTTTATAATTTTTTGCTTTAAACCTCTGTTGCCAAAACAGACCCTTCTACTGAAACAGACTCCTCTAGGTCAGTGGTTTTTATCCTTGGAATCCCCTAGTGGCTTGTAACAGAGAACATTCACACATGAGTGCATTGTTACGAGCAGGCCCATAAGGAGGACACAAAAAATTCCCAAGTGAGAAGGCCAAAACCTTAAATTAATTCTGAATGACTTAGCAAGAGTAAACCCTACTAGGGCTGTAATGCTTTATTACTGAAAAATGAAATATATCACCTTCATATGCTCTGATTCCTTGGTTTAAAACCACTGTCCTTGTTGGCTGAGATTCTGTTTTGAGCAGCTTGGGCTTGAATGTATTGACCAGCCCAAAGCTATGACCACCCAGTATGTTTCTGTACCAAAGCTTATCCCTCACAAATAACCATCAACAGGAGAACAAAAGTATGGACCCAAGCATTATCCTTTTCCCTGTCATAGTCATGAACATGTTCTTTCTGGGACCCAAGCATTATCCTTTGGCCTGTAATAATCATGAACATGTTCTTTCTGGTGTCCCCACAGGGTTTAACTATCTGACCAGGACTTGGTCAAGAGCCCTGTCCTCCACCATGGCCATTTTATCAATCTGGCTGACTAGGAAGATGTTTCCCTTCAAGGTGAGCAAATGGATGAGACTTGCTTGCCTCCGATCAAAGGTGGTCTCACCCAATATTCGCCAGAAGAAACTAATCCACAAGCTGCAAGACGAAAAGACTTTTCAGGAAGAGATGAAGATTTTCCATGAGAAAATAGAAGACTTCAGGGAAGAGATATGGAATTTCAGAGCCAAGATCCATGCTTTCCGGGGCCAGATGCTGGATTTTTGGGAAGAGGAGGGACCTTTCTGGGAAGAGGAGAAAACTTTCTGGAAAGAGGAAAAAACTTTCTGGGAAATGGAAAAATCTTTCAGGGAAGAAGAAAAAACATTTTGGAAAAAATACCATACCTTCTGGAAGCAGGATAAGGCCTTCTGGAAAGAGGACAATGCCTTATGGGAAAGAGACAGAAAACTTCTTCAGGAGGACAAAGCCCTATGGGAGGAAGAAAAGGCCCTGTGGGTAGAGGAAAGAGCACTCCTTAAGGAAGAGAAGGCCCTAAGGGAAGATAAAATGTCCCTCTGGGAAGAAGAGAATGCCCTCTGGGAGGAAGAGAATGCATTCTGGGTGGAAGGCGGACATATTGCTATGGAGCAGATGCTGGAAGACAGGCCTCGAATACCAGCATTTTCCCGAGGCCCGGCATAGTGAGTCCAGGATGTGCAGAGCCATGGGATTCAGACTCTCCTGGATTGGGACCCAAGTCCATGGTGATCCCCTGTGCTAGAGAAAATATGCACGTATTTGTCTCTTTGCTTTGAAAGATCTAATAAAGTCTTGAGGAAGGGTTTGAAAAACTAGCTTTTGGAGGAAAGCTGGCTGCATTTTTTTAGGTTCTGTGATTCTCCAAGGTCATATGCCCATCCACCAGGCTTGATTCCTGGCCATAGACCTTGGTCCCAAGCAGTTTGCAATGTCCCTGGGTAGGGATAGAGTCACTCTTTTTAAAAGAAGAATGGGGAAAGAGGCTCAGACAATGCCAGCTACAGACAATAGGGCCAAAGAAGAGCTGATACACCCTTGCCTCTGTCATGTTGTAGGGCAATTACTTCTCCTTCACTCTGCAAAGTCTTGGAGGCTTGGCATGTGCTGACAGCTCTCCAGAAAAGACCACAATGTTGTTAGTAATTCATATGTGCTTCTTCCTCACCTGGCAGGCAGTTTGGAACATTCAGGTAGAATCCCTTAGATATCCACTCACTGGCAGGTCTGAGTTCTCACCAAACTTCTCAACCATCCATCCCCTGTCAGCATGAGAAAGGCCCCTTGACATTGGCCTGAAGCCCAATCAAAGGCACTGATCTTCTTTGATAATGCAGTCAAAGTGGACCACAAGATGATCTGAGAGGTACTGGAGGTCCTCTTTGCTACTGCACCCCCATGTATTCCCACTCATACGGGTCTCACTGTGCCACATTTCTTTATTGTAAATTTATTTCCATGGTGTTTTTTCAATGTTTATCGTATTTCTCAATGTTTATCGTATTTAAGAGGGGCAGGCAATGAAAAAGTGATTGTCTGTACATGGCTGAATCCTCAGACTTACCACTTCTAGGTCTGTTCTCCTGGGATGGTCAAATTCCCCAGAGAGGATGCTTCCAGTCTCCTGCCTAGAGAATTTTCCAGAGGCCACAGAGGGCTGGCTGCTCCTGGAAGTTGGCCCACTTATCTGGTACCAAGAATATTTATATATCTAGGGGACTTTGTTAAATTCCTTGTCTTCTCCAACTCTCCACCACCATCCCAAACCAGAATGAAATCCAAAGTACTTAAGGCTCGGGCAGTATTGTGGCCATTACCAGCAGAGTTACTTTAAGGTCATCTACCAGGAACCACGGTTGTATTAGAGAAGCAATGGGACCCAGAGGCAGGCAACTAGGCAGGCTCTAGTCCTGGCCCTTCCATTTGCTACTTGCCTGGCCACAAGAAATCATTTTGCTTCTCTAGGTCTCTGTTTCTTCATCTGTACAATGGGTATATGTACCTTTCTAAAATGTCCCCAAACATAGTTTGTGGTCAGAGGTAGGGCTTTTTGAAAGGTGAATGGATCATGGGGGCACTACCCTCATCAGGACATTAATCCATTGGTGAGTTCTTGGCTAAATGTGGTATTAGGAGGTGGATTACTGGGGACATGACTAGAAGGATGTATTCTTGCTCCTGGTTCCTCCTTTCCTCCCTTCTCTGTTTTCTGGCTGTGAACAGCTTTCCAATTTCACCTTGCTGTTTCTGCCTTGGAGACAGCTGTCCATGGACTGACCCCACTTGAACTGCAAGCCAAAATAAACCTCTCCTTTAAGTTGTAGGTGTCAGGTATCTTATCTCAGTGACAGGAAACCTGACAAATTCACCAGGGGTTAGGGAAGAGAAACCTTAGGCAATACATATGGTCCAGCCCCAAAGAGGATCACAGGCCAGACTAGAGGAGTAGGGAAGGGGAAAGGAGGGGTAAAGGATAAAAAAGAGAGAAGAATCAAGATGTATTGTATATATGTACAATGATAAATGTAAACACTATGTACTGGGAAAATATACTAATAAATAAAAAATTTAAAACAACTTTAAGGCATAAAATTGGCCAGGGGAAGTGGCACACACCTGTAATCCCAGCTATTCAGGAGGCTGAGGAGGATGACATGTTCCAGGCCAATCTGGGCAACATAGTAAGACCTTGTCTCAAAAAATAAAAAGAGTCAGGGAGATAGATTTGTGGTAGAGCACCCCTGGATTCAATCCCCAGTACTATAAAACAAAACAAAATGATGAGATTGTTGTAATACCTAAAGTTATTGAATGTATCTAGGGGAGATAAATACTAGTGGGGAGAGTGAGGGTAAATAAGTGGTAAATAGGAAGAAAATTCGGCAACTGGGAGAAAAGCAGCTATATGTTAATGAAAAACAAAGACTTGTGCAGGAATGGAAAAATCGCTGTGGTACTGTGCTACAAATACAGCTGTGAGTAGCATTTCAATAGCTATATGAACATGAATACTGAATAGTGATCTAACCCAAATTACAATATTGGAAATATGAGGGGGGATGGGAATTCTGCTCACTTTTTCTTGTGGGAATCATTATATAATACTCAACACAGAAAATCTAAAAAGCACCAATGTAAGCATGTTATTTAACACTTTAGCATTTTCTCAAATTTTAGCATCCATTTGAACCTTCCAGAGGACTTTCTAAATTGCCATTTGGTCTGCTTCATCTCCTCTGTTCCAGCCACATGAAAAGTCTGTCCCTTCCCTGAAGGCATTGTGCTCCCTTGTGACATTGGACTTTTGCCCATATGTAATCAGGATATTCTCTGTCCCTCCACCATCACCATTATGAGCTCACTCTTACCTTCAAGTGCTTGACTACATATTGCTGACTCCAGGGAATGTTCCCTGACCCCATTGTCTGGTTGGGGATCCTTCTGGGGTTCTCCTCAACCTGTACTTCTGCTAGCCCAGTACTGGTCACCCCAGGCTGTCCTCTTCCATTTATTTGCCTGAATCCTCTAGAGGACTATAAAGTTCAAGAGGGGAGAGATAATGCTCAAATGACTTTTTGCCACTCAGAAAAATGCCCTCTTTATGTTAGAGGAATTTCTCATCTCAGAAGAACTCAGAAATGTATTTCCCAGCCTCCCTTGCAGCCAGACTTGGACATGTGACCTAGACTGCACTAATAACATACATCAATGCCAGGCCTCAGTGAGGAAAACGATGTCATATGGAAGTCATGATGTGAGGGTGGCAGGAATTGGAACTTTTAGAGGAAGCAGGAGGCAGAGGTCTCCCTGCCCAGGACAGTGGTGTGAGCTGCAGAGCCTACATGCCTGGCTGCAGGGGCAGTAAGTGTTCTGAGGCAATCCAGAACTGGATTCTGCACAATGTTCCTGACTGTGCAACCACCTACCTTAACTGTCTGGCTGTTAAGAAAATTCTGTGAGCTTCTTCATACCCTTCATTAAATATCTTATCTATTAAGCTAGCAAGAGCAGCTTCGTTTTTCTTTAAAAAAAAATTTTTTTTTTGGTACTGGGGATCAAACTCAGGTTCTTGAGCTTGCTAGGCAGGCAGCAAAACCACTGAGCTAAATCCTCGGCCCTAAAATTTTTTTTTTAAACTAAGAAGCAGAACAAGAAAGAGTAACTGTCTTGCTTTGGATTTAATCCTCAGTGCCTAGTAGATCTTGGACATATAGTAGATTCTAAATACATGTTTACTGATGTGGGTGAATAAATGAATGTTTGAGAAAAAAACTGTTGGCCTGAAATCAGTGACTATGCCCCCTGACTTCCCTGAGGGAGGGAGTGTGGGGCCACCATAGGCTCTTCCCTTCCTGACCTTTCCCAACTTGGACCTACAAATCTAGGTCTGCACTCAGGCTAGGCAATCCCAGACCCAAGCACGAATGAATGCAAGATGCCCCCTTGATCCATGGAGGATATTACTCTGGAGATGGGTGATAATCTCTATACCTAGGGAGGAACAACTCCTGTGAGTGTCTTCTCTCCTTGCTGCAGGTGTCTGTGAGCATACCACGCCACTTGTTTACTTATTTTTTCACCCATTGTGAGCTCCTCCAGCCAGAGAGACTGGTCTTACTCATGCTTGCTGGCTGTGCTGTCTGTATGTGCCTCCCTCCTCCTCCACAGTTTGAAATGAGCTCTTAAGTCATATAAAACAAGGCTGAGGAACAGCCTGACTGGGGTCTCAATTACTAGGGGCAGTCACTGCTCTTGGCACTGCACATTTGCAGAACTGAGAGCTGGTTGCTTAGCAACAAAATGAGCTGCTGCTTTAACTAGCATCAGATCCACATTTGCCTAATCAATGCAGCTTTAACTCTGGTGCAGAGCAGAGACCTCCAGCAAACCCTTGAGAAGACAGACCTGTCGCCAATATTTGTTAAGACAGACACTGCTTTAAGCACTGTTCTAAATGCTATGTACCATGTTATATCTAAATCCACAGAACCCAGTGAAGTGGCACTAGTATTAGCTAGAAATGAGGAAACTGAGGCACAGAGAGCCAAAGGTTATACAATCAGTAAGAGGTATGACATGGACTTGGTCCAGGCCTTTTGGTTTCAGAATCCAAGCTTTTCAAACTAAATTAAAATGCCCCAGGGCTGGGGATTTAGCTCAGTGGTGCCACCACCTGCTTTGCAAGCTCAAGGGCCTGAGTTTGATCCCTGGTACCAAAAAAAAAAGCCCCATTCAGTAAATACTCTCAAATGCCTCTCCCTTAAAACAGTCAAGGCAGAAAACTCATCCAATGGAGAGATGCGTGCTCTTTAGATGCATAAAAAGTAGAGACAGGCTTAACATCCTCCTTATATCTCAAGTAACCTCATCAAGGAATGGCTGTTTTGATGGCAAGGCCCTTGCACAATATGATACAGTGTCATGAAAGTATTCTCGTGACAATTCTCCTAGCCTTCCACCCATTCCCCCTTCTCAAACCTGACATTATTGACCAATTCTGACTTGAAATAGGGCTCTTTCTTGACCCCAGCATCCCCAGGGGCTAGACCTAGCTTAGGAGGATGAGAAATTGGGCTGTGTGAAGATCTGACTGGGGACAGAGAACTGGAGAGGAAGAACCCTCCTTGTAGGAGCTGCTGACCCAGCATGACCACAGCTTTTTCCAGGGTCCACATGCAATTGCCTGGTCAGACTTGGCTTACATTTGCCCACAGCTGCCTCT